GCTGATAGTTTATCTGTGATCTGTGGGATACGACTTGGTACAGTGGAAAAATCTTAGTGGGCAAGCATCTACAACACAAAAACAAACAAAAACATCTCCACGATTGCACTTTTATAGCAAGCACGCAAAACACAAAGGATGGAAAAGAGTGAACTAGTCTGTCCCTCTTAGGGTACATCTACATAGCAGTTATTTCAGAATAACAGCCGTTATTCCAAAATAACTATGTGAACATCTACACAGCCATTCTGTAATTTTGAAATAATTTCAAAATGGTGATCTACTCCGAAATTTGTGAACCTTGATCTATGAACAATAATACCTATTCTGAAAGAGCTATTTCAAAATAAGGCATGTGTAGACACTCCATTGCTGCTATTTCGAAATAGCCCCTCACCAGGATCATTCTAAGTTATTCCTTCCCTGTGCCTCTTAGGGCTCTAAATCATGATAGCAGTCTACATTAGGGAAGCCTGCCTCGGACTAATTTTGAGGCTTCCCTGCAGTGTAGATGTGCTATTCTGAAATCACTTATTTCAAAATAAGCATGCAGTGTAGACATACCCTTAGAGATGGCAATTCCAGATCAAAGCAGAAAACTATGAAAAAATTATCTGATATAATTAAAATATCTCAGCAGTTTGCTGTCCTAAATATAGCCCTTAGGTACTTGTAGTTCTAAGTCTTCTGCATAGCAGAAAGTAAGGCTTGTTAATTTATTTAAAAAAAACCCACCACACTAAAAAGTAGCTTTTTTCCCCCTACAAAACATATTGAATACAGCACATAGTTACTGTCGACGATTAACGAATAACTACAGAAAAATACTCTGCTCTCTGAATCAATATTCTTGATTCCTCAAAATCTTTAACACAAGAGATTCCTGAACTTTATGTCTGCTCACTTGGAGAGAGAGAAAGATTGTGTGACAGAGTGTTAGAAATTAAAACACCACTTGTAAAATATTGTAAACACATATTTCAATAAATACTATTGAGTCATAACTAAACCTATAAAAGCTGCACAAAAAACAATTGTGAAAAAACTTAACCAAAACAAAGAATATCTGAAGGCTACAATCCATTCCAATTAACACACATCAGGCTTCTCAGTTCAGTAGACAGTAACCATATTTGTATTTCTTTAGTGAACCATGCATGAAAGAGAGAGGGGATTGGAATTTTCACTGCATACGATTCCTGTTTTTTCCATCCCATTGCCTATAACTGGAGAATGGAAGGATATAGAAGAAGAAAAATGTTTTTCCCCCCATATGAAAATATTGTCCTGTGGGCAACTACTACAGGTTGGACCTCACTGGTCCTGAACGAGGGAGTTTGCTAGACAAGGAAAGGTTAATTCCAGCCCCTCTGCCACTGGCCCCTCAACCTGGCTCCATTCCTGGACCAGCTGCTGGCCCTCCAGCTGCCCACACCCCCCCCCCCCCCCGCCGCTGGCAAGGCTGGGCTCCTGGCTTCTATAGGGCTGCTGCTCACCCAGCAGGGCTCCTTGGCACTGGCCACCTTCCCCAGCCAGACTCCCGGCCCCATCAGCTGGGGGGCCAGCCACCTATTCCCCTGCCACCAGGCAGCCACCGGCCAGCCACCAATGCAGCTGGGCTCCTGGCCCCAACAGGGCTCCTGGCCCTGGTAGGGATCTCTACTGACAGGCTTCCATTGTGGTTCTCTGGTCCAGGAACAGATGTTGCTGGACCAGAGTGTCCTGATTTAGAAAGGTTTAACCTATACAAAATTAGTAGTACTTCAAAAACAAAAAATCAAACTAATATGAATAATTATTATTTCTAGAGCCCTGCACAGATGCAAATATGTGGATCTGCATCCGATCCGCATCTGCCAGGCTCAACTCATCATCCAATCCATGATCCAGATTTTACTTGCATCTGCACAGAAAACCACCTGGAGGGGAGATGAGAGGAAGCAAAGATAAGCGAGGAAGGAACAGGGTCATGCAGGAAAGAGGCAGGCACCATGAAAGCAGGGATTGGGATAAAGGGTGGCAGGGATTTGGGATAAGGAGCAGCAGGGACCCATAGGTTAGTGTTAGGGATGTTCAAATGTATGTAATTAAATAACTGTGTAACCACTGAAAATTTCAGCAGTAACATGATTAGAGGCGGGGGAGGCAGTTGGCTCTGGTCTGCCATCCCATGCTGCTGCCTCTGTATCAGAGACAGCAGCATGGGGCGGCAGGCGGCTCCCTCTGAGTTTCAGGATCCTGTGTGGGTATCAGCTCCACTGTCCACAGATATTTACATCCACGGATATGCAGGGCTCTAGTTATTCCTGTTTCATGCTTAATTTTCAACATATGAATGTGTTACATATGAATGAAATATCAACTTTTTAACACTTTTGCAAATAAATAGCTAGCCAAATTGAAGAAGTTAAACTGTAAACATACCTTTTTCATCAGCTTTGTCTTTTATTGCTAGAGTATCATTACTCAGAGATACAGTCTGGGCATTTAATATATCTGTCCTCATTCCTGGAAATTTTGGAGATGAAATTAATCGTCCTTCATAAGAATATAAATAGATTCCTCCACCGTCTATAAGAAGAAAATGCCTGAAAACAATAAGGATAATTTAACTAGTTGTAATAGACGGTGCTAGAAAGATTTCAGCAATTTTAAGATTGTCTAAAATACTGGAAGTGTTTTCTGTGTAAGCTACACAATGTTTAAATCTTAAAATTGGAACTCACAAGTTGTACACTTGGGAATTCAATTTTAATGTGAATATTGCCTTTCAAATATAAGGATTTTAATTAGCTATGGAAAATCTATTATTCCGTTTTCCCTTAGTTAATATTTTCTATAGCTTTACACTTCCATATTAAATATCCTGATAAGGCATCTCTCTAAAGGAACTTAGAAAATACTGGGATTTTTAGTCCTCCACAGAAAAATATTCACAGAAGCTCAGGAGTTGCAAAGGTGTGTATATAGCTTAGAAATTGGTTTAAATCTTACATCTTCCATTTTTAAATCTTTCTGTGTCTGTTTCTTCACTATGTCATGGAAGCAAATGAATTGTAGATTCTTAGAAGATACTTTTTAAAATTTCTACCTCAGCTTATTAAGAGGCATACAAAGGAGTGGCCTTTTTCAATGTTTATGTTTCTGAACTAGTATTTATGTAGAATGTAAATAATAAATCTATAATAACTTCTGTTAGATGTTGCTATTATCCCTATTTTACAGATGCAGAAAATTCAAACAGAAAGATTAAAGGCCAAAGATATATCATCAGCTGATATAAACTGTCATAGCTCTATTGACTTCACTTGGAGGCATTGCCTGCTCATATAGATATTTGCAAGGAAAGAATGATTTCCCAAAAAAATGTGGGTTGACTTCAATGGAGCTACAACTATTCTTACCAACAGAGGATCTGCTCCCACATTTTCAAAAGCGCCTTCCAAGTTTGAGTGCCTAACTTCAGATATAGGCCTGATCTTCAGAAATGCCTCCACTAACTTTACCTGAAGTTGTAAGAGTACGATACCTCTAAAAATCAGATCCGAAGTGTTTAAAACAGGGCACTTTTAAAAAATTTGGATTTAAGTTCTGACCAAGGCCAGATAGCAAATTAGAGGCAAGACTAAAATTAGAACTCAGGAGTTCTTGATTCCCAGTCTTATTCTCATAACCATTTAAAATGGAGAAAATGCTGCCATTTCATGCATGCATAAATATTACATATACGTATTATTAGCAAAAATGTAAAATTGCATTTCATGTTTTTTCAGCAGGCACGACAATTTTATTAATAAGTAGAGGACCAACTTGTAGTCAAGATTATTTCTACAAAGTATGTTCCACTTCAACAAACAAACATAAAAGATAAAAAACAGATGTTAAACTTAACTGCTGAAGATTATTTACACTCCATTGTAAATAAAAGATAAGCATGATACAGTACACATGTAATGTATGAAGTAATTCAATTCCACAATTGTATCACAGATACTATATAGCAATAGTACCTTTTAGACTGGGGTAGGGGGCCAAGATAGGGTCGGTGGCCCAGATCCAGCCGGCCAAACCATTTGATCTGGTCCGCAGCTGCCCTGCCACTTCCCTACCCCCAGGCCAATTGAGACCTGGAGATGGGGAGTATGTGACATCTCCTTCACCTGCCAGATGCACGTGGCACCAGAGGGAACCGCCTGCTGTTCAAAACGGCTTGCAGGTCCCTCTAGGCACTGCACACCCCTAGCAGGGCAGAGTGCGGGAGGGAGAGTTCGCACACTCCCCAGCCCCCAAACCCTGATTGGCCTGGGGACGCGGGCACAAGTGAAGTCTCCTGCTGCCAGGAGTACATGGCACCTAGAAGGAACTGCTAGCTGTTCAAACTGGCTGGCAGCTCTGGCAGGGCAGGGGGCGAGAGACTTTGCGCGCTCCCCTGCCCCCAGCCCTGTTTGGCCTGGGGGTGGAGGGAGTGCACAAAGTCTCCTTCCTCACTAGGGGCATGTAGCCCCTAGAGGGACCTGCTAGCTATTGAAAATGGCTGTGCATGCCCCTGACAGGGCGGGGGTGGGGGACAAAGACTTTACACACTCTCCCACCCCTAGGCTAGTCAGCCCCCTTCCACTGAGGCCCATCTCTTCTCTGCGAGGCTCCACCCCTTCTGGAGCAGCCCGTGACCACTTCTGAAATTCGGGAAGCGGCTCCCCTGAAAAATTATTTACCACTCCTGTTTTACAAAATGACTTTACCCAACATGACTTCATCCACTATTTACCAACACTGTATATTTTATTTTGTTACTAGTATTTGTAGGGATAAAATAGCAAACAGCCCATTAATATGTGGGTAAGATTCTGAACCACAGTTTCTGGTTTAGCTTTTCCACATAGGCCCACGCTGCCCAGAGTGAGCAGAGACATGAGGCTTAGCCAGCAGCAGGTAATGGGCCCAAGGAAAAATTCAGAAAATAACCCCGCCTGTTTATCATGAAAGCAGCATAACACTAGGTCATAATTATGGAAAGCCATAAATGAACATCCTTATCATGAGTTTCACACACACATACACACACACAAGGCTGAGAGGGGCCTCATAGTCTGGGAAAGAGACAACAGCTGCCTTCCCAAGGCCAACCACGACCTCAGGAAAGGCTGTAAGATAACACTCCCCCTAAGAATTCAAACTCGCAGACCTACCAAAGGTATACTATAAACAATTGTTTGCTGTGTGCCGTACACTATCTTTTTGTTTTATAACCCAGGAAAGCACCTATGAACCACATCTGTTGGAAAGACGTTGTCATCGCTCCTATAAATCCCAAATGGAATATAGCTATGCCTTGTAAGGAAATTCTTGGGGGGCAGGGGGAGGAAGAAGGGCGCATATACTCGTATTTAGAAATTGTGTTAACCTGAGCCATGGGCAGAACTACTATGTAATCTTTTAGACTATTGGTTTACTGTGTTTATTATGCCTTGCTGTTAGTACCTATTCAGGGGCTCAGGAAATCTCACCCTGTCACTTCTCTCTGCCCATCAGCTCCCTATACAACCTATTGTAATGATTTGCTTATCAGTGCTCACGAACCCAAGTGGCAAGGTTATACTCTGCCAGCGCTGTGTGCAATAAACCCTCCTGCTTGAATCTACATGGTGTCTACATTTTGGTTTCCAACAGTATTTAAGAAACACACATATAATTCTACAGTTCAGTTTAACAAAAAAAAAAGTCTTTATTATTATAATAAACAAATTACCTTTCTGCTTGTAGAATTAAACTTACTGTTCCTTCTTTGAGGTCAAAGATAAGTGGTGTGTTCCAGTTCTTTGTACTAAAATAATATTAAGATTAGTATTAATTAACATTTCTAAAATTCACGAAGTAATAAAACACCTTTTTATTTTTAAAATTTTAAATGATAGTTAGCTGTCCAATTCCCATTGAAAGTCATGGCAGTTGACTATTTAACCATCACTTCTGTCTTTGAAAATCTCACTCATGAGTTTAGCCAGTGGATCATGTAGCTGCACATCTTCCCTCCTGCTTCCTAAACACCTTATGCACAGGGGTACCCAGAGCCCTTGTAGTATTGTGCTCCATGGCTTTAAAGGCACACAATCGCACTCTATTCTGCCTTCCTATACATTGTAGAACCACATTATTTTAGTTTGCTCAGAATCTTCTGCAGTTTTTACACTGGTCACAGGATTTACTCCTATATGAACTCATACGTGGACTGGTGGTTCAATGATAATCATGTTACTGAGCAGGGAAACAACATTTAGGTATTAGATTTAGATCCCTATGTCTGGTAAACTACATTTCAGACATGACATGACTGTTTTCTGTATCATCCCTTATAAATAAACAATTCTAAAGAATCTGTTGGCCAATCTGCAGAGCACAAGTAATGGCATCTGAAAAACAGCTTGTGTGTCCTGGTCTCTGAGAAAGAAGTAACATTACCAAAGAAGTAACCAATGCAAATTGGTCAAATGGCTACGTGAGTTCAACTGGCAGCTCCTGAATTTAGAGATGGGCTATTCCCTACCCATATTTAGATATTTGAAGGGTAAGAGTAATTTCCCATAAAATGTATTTATCAACTAATTTTACTCCATTCACCATATCATCTACTTGTGTGAATTGCCATGGATCAGCTGAGCCACTAGAACTAGGACAATTTATTCCAGGTTGAAGATCTGGCACGTGGGGTACATTTTCAAAGGGTAAGATAGGATTTAACTGTTCAACTTTCATTCATCTTAGAAGAACTCATAAATGGTGGAGCTAATGGAAGATAAAAGGGAGTGCAACCTTAGTTTTATATGGCACCTTTTCAGGCATATGTTGAAAGATGTGTGTGACATGACTTTTTTACCACAGGGGTAGTGAGCAAGCCTGGCCTTCACTTACCCAGCAGAAGCAGCTCCAGTCTCATAGGGCTGAATTTGCCTTCCTGGTCTGGACATTGCAATATGATGCATGGAGTCATGTGGAGATGTGACCTTAAGCACCATATCACAAAGCTACTCACTCAAATTTTGCCCAAGTGCCCCTTTGTCATGACAGAATGGTGGCCAGGCCAAATCTGAATGGTGTTGTGACCCTCTGTTCCAGGTCAGAATGCCCAGAGTGGGGAGCTGGGCCCAGCGCCACAGAACTGGAGCCTTCACTGCCTGGTAAATGTGGGGCAGACTTAAGTCTTCAACCCATCACCAATGATCCATCACCCTCCTAGCTGCAAAAGCTAGGAGGAATACGTTACAGTAATTCCTTATACAACTATGAAAATACATGTGTGTGTGTATATAGGTGGGTTCTATAACATATATCTATAAAAAGATGTAATGTTTTCATAGCTAAATCATGTATAAACAACTGCATTTTAAATCAAGCTCCTTCTGAATTCTCACAATTGAATGGATCATTAATTCAAATTACTTACGAAAACACATAACATTGAAGAGAAGTTGAAACAACTAAATGCCCGTAGTTCAAAGAGGCCTTAATGACTCTGTCACGGAATTCAAGTAAATCCACTGCATCATTAACAACATTACGGACCTAATAAACATGATTTATGGTTAAAAAATAAAATAATACAACAGATAACCCAGCATAATATTATACTCATTTTTAATCTCCATAAACAAGTGGCTGATATCATGCATTTACTGTACCATGTAACTGTGTAGGAACAGGAAGTTTTAAAGAAAAGCATTAATTAATAAATCAATTAACTCATGTTTAATAACCTAGAATAATTTTGAAACAAAAAGGGTTGCATTAAGTATGAAGTTTTTACCTGCTAATTTGTTTTGTGTGTTTAAAGACCTGACTTGTAAAAAAATGCATCTGTTTTCCTGGAGAATGCCATCATGTAAATCAATGGTATAACCTTACCTGGAATTCTGGTCATCTGATCTCAAAAAAAAAAAAAAAAAAAAATACAGCAGAACCTCAGAGTTACAAACAGGTTTAGGAAGTGACCAGTTAACCACACACACCATTTCGAAGCAAAAGTACACAAGCAGATAAGCAAAAGTACACAAACGTGCACATACTCCTACACACAGAGAAAATATTGCACAGTACAGTACTATGTTAAACATAAACCACTGAAAGATATTTAGGTGCTTAATTATTTATTCAGAAGACTAGTTTCAGGCATCCAGGTTTGAAAATGATGGAAGAACTTGTAACAGAAAGTCAGTATTACTCCACTGTTCACTAGTTATGTTATGAGTCAGTGTCTTAGAACACAGAAGAAAAATAGCACATAAAATTCAAATATCTGTATTCAATCCCAGATATTTAGGTGCCTAATTGTGGATTCTGGCCAAGCTTTTCATAAACAGGTGCCTAAATTTGAGCTCTATAAACTACAATTTCATTTCTAACATGTCAATCACCCAGAAGCTCCTACTAATGTCCATAGGAACTGCTGAGTATTCAGAATTTTGGGGGGCTCTTATTTGATTTTCAAATGTGGATTGAGGAGTTTTTGTTGTGGCTGTTTTTTCAAGCCTCAGAATTAGCAACCCAACTTTAGGTATCCAAGTTTGAAAATTTCAGTCTCAATGTTTTATTATTTCCATACATTTGTTCCCTAAGTCCTCACTAAAGGGACGTCTAGACTACAAGCTTCTTTTGAAAGAAGCTTTTCCGGAAGAGATGTTCCGAAAAAAACTTCTTCCGAAAGAGAGCGTCCACACTGCCAAAGCACATCGAAGAAGTGATCTGCTTTTTCGAAAAAGTGATGCTTTTTCGAAAGATAGTATCCATTTGGTGTGGATGCTATCTCGCATTTAAGCTGTGATTACTATGGATTGAGTGACCACCAGTGCACCTGTGCTTTTTCCTGGAGGCATCTTCTTTCAAAAATCTCCCTCTTCCATGTTCACACATGCTGTGTTTTTTAAATTTTCTTTCAAAAGAACGCAATAGTAGTGGGGACATAAGTGAAGTTTTTTTGGAAAAATGGCAGTTTTTCCGAAACACCCCCTGCAGTCTAGATGTTAAAAGACATTTGACAAATTTTCCTACCTTTGGAAAATTTGAACCTGTGGTTATATTACGGTGAATCAGCGCAACAAAGGACACTAAACACTCTTTATGATTGTGGACACCTGTCAGTTGCCTGTTGATCTGGAAATCCAAGAAAACCATGAATCTGGACATCCATTCATCACAGAGGCTGTGGCAGAGTCAATCCCACTCCTGGGCCCCTGGCCAGGCCACTGTCCCATAGTTTAGGAGTTGCAGTATAAGATTCACTCACCTTGTTTTGGTGTTTGTCATCTCCCTGCAGCCTTTGTCAGGGGGCTGATGCTATTCTACTTGGCTCCTCCGATATCCTTATCAATTGTCTTTCTCCACACTCCAAACTTCTCCTTCACTCTCTAAACTCCTTGTCCAAGCTCCAAACTCCTTCTCAACTCTCTCTCCCTCCCCTACCTACAGGGAGGGTTTTTAAAGAGGCCTTGTGGAAGCCCCAATAAGCTTTACCTGGACCTTAACTTATTTGCAGCCGCCCTGTCTCAGCTGCCCCTAATTAGCCAGGATTCATACCTCTTTCTGCAAGAGCTGCCTCTCTACCCTTCCACCAAGCCCTTTAACCTGCTCTACCACACCTGCTCTGTCACAAGGCATACGTGATAGAATAATTAGTACCTATACTATAGGAACAGACAGCGATGGTGCAGCTGTACCCCATGTAACCCCATGTAGTGTAGACATGATACTCAGCCCTGCCTACACTATCACTTATACCAGTGCTATCACCAGTGTAGATGCACCTTTATTGGTAATTAATGCAATATTATTTCTGATGTAAACAAAACTTATGACTCAGTGAATCAGATCCTTTATTCATGCCCCCACCTCACCAAAAAACAAGCTGCTTTGATACTTTCACAATCTTCAAGTGAGCCAAGAGGCTGATGTAGTTCTGGGTCATGTGACTGTATACTCAAACACATATGCATGTACCACTTGCTCATTCTGACTCAAAGACATTTAACCAAATTATTTATACTTGGCAAAATTATTCATTCACTATTATTTATCTCTAATAAGAAGGAGTTACTCACCTTGTGCAGTAACGGTGGTTCTTCGAGATGTGTGTCTCCGTGGGTGCTCTGCTCTAGGTGCTGGTGCCAGCGACTTTTTTAGCAGTTTCTACCTCACCGTGCACACGCCGTGGTGCCCCTTGTGTCATTGGTGTATGTTAGGCACGCATGCAGCATGGTCCCCCTGTTCCTTCTCTACCAGTGCTGTTAGAGCATGGGGATCCAAAGCAGGGGAAGGAGGGAGGGTAGTGGAGCACCCACAGGGACACACATCTCGAAGAACTACCATTACTGCATAAGGTGAGTAACTCCTTCTCCTTCAAATGGTGTCCCCGGGGGTGCTCCAGTCTGGGTGACTACTCAGCAGTTGTTGGCCCGTGGAGGTGGCTTTGGAGCCCTGCGTTAGTCATTGAAGATAGTACTGCATGTCCCACTGCCATGGATGATGCAATGGAAGAGGAGAGAGTGTAATGCTGTGCAAATGTGTGGTCTGATGACCATGTGGCGACATTACAAATGTCCTTGAGAGGAACATTGTTGAGGAAGGCAGTAGCGGAAGACATTGCCCTAGTGGAATGGGCCTTAATGACTCAAGGTAGTTTTTTATTATGGAGGGTGTAGCATGTGTGGATACATGAGGAAATCCACTTAGAGATCCTCTGCGAAGAGACCGCTTGTCCTTTGGATCGTTCTGCGTAGGACAGGAAGAGTCTAGGGGACGTTCACCAGACCCTTGTCCGGTTGATGTAGAAGGCAAGTGCTCTGTGGACATCAAGGGTGTGCCAAGCAGCGTGCACCGGGTCAGCATGAGGCTTGGGAAAAAGGCAGGTAAGTGTATGGGTTTGTTGACGTGGAAGGGGGAAGGGATTTTCAGGATGAATTTAGGATGGGGTCGGAGTTTAACTCTGTCCTTGGTGAACACTGTGTACGGGGGGGAGGGGGTGTCTGCCATTAGGGTGGTGAGTTCACTCACTCTCCTGCAGGAGGTTATTGCAACCAGAAAGGAGACTTTCATCGATAGGTATGACCAGGAGCAAGTCACCAGCGGCTCAAAGGATCGTTTTCTCAAGCTCTTAAGTATGTGATTTAGGTGCCAGACGGAACCGGGTGGGCAAACGGATGGAAAGGTGTTTTGTAGACCTTGAGGAATCTCTTAGTGATCGGACTGGTGAGGAAAGAAGCTCTTTGGCGTGATGGAAAGCTGCTATGGCAGCTGTATGGACCCTGATAGTACTGAGAGCGAGGCCCAATTCCTTAAGGTGTAAGAGATAGTGCAGTAGGAGGGGAAGGAGAGTGGTCTCTGGCATTGTAGTGTGAGAACGTTTGAGCCAGTGGGAAAATCTCTTCCATTTATAGAGGTACGCTTTCCTGACAGACTGTCTTCTACTGTTGATCAGTATTTCCTTCAATCTTTCTGAACTGGTGTTTTTGGCATCTTGTAGCCATGAAGGAGCCAGGCGTAGAGGTGAAGTTTGTGGGGTTCTGGATGGAGATTCATTCTGTGATTCTGGGAGAGAAGACCGCGCTGAGGCAGGAAGGAATATGGATCCGTGATTGTCATCCTGTAGAGGTAAGGATACCATGTTTACCTTGACCATTCTGGTGCAATAAGTATCACTCAAGCATGGTCTGTTCTGATCTTGCTGATGACCTTGTTGAGAATAGGAAAGGGTGGGAATGCATAGAGGAGAGGAGCATCCCACCTGATGGAGAAAGCATCCCTCAGGGAGTGCTTCCCTAAAGCTGCTCTGGAACAATAAAGGTGACACTTCCTGTTGTTTCTGGTCAAGATGAGGTCTATGTCTGGCTGACCCCATTGGCGAAATACGTGATTGAGTGCATGCCTGTCTATCTCCCATTCATGCTGGTTGCAGAACTTGCGACTGAGGGCATCTGCAGTAATACTGAGCACCCCTTGAAGGTAAGAAGCAACCGGGGTGACCTGGTGCCTCAGACACCAATTCCATAAGTTGCGGGCCTCCGCACATTCAGATGGGGATCGTAAACCTCCCTGCCGATTGATATAGTACGTGCAAGTGGTGTTGTCCATCATTATGGTGATGGCCTTGCGGGCTATATGGGGTAGGAAATGCTGGCATGCATACCGTACTGCTAGTAGTTCTAGAAGATTGATATGAAACGTTTGCTCTATAAAGGACCATTTGCCTTGGGCCGTGACGGTTCACAGATGGGCTCCCCAACCAAGGAGTGATGCATTGGTCATCATAGTAAGTGTGGGGATAGGTTGTTGGAATGGCACTCCAGTTAGCACACCGTGTGGATTCATCCACCATTGTAGGGAGTTGAGGACCTGTGGTGGAATGGTAACTAACTTAGGGTATGTCTACACTACCCCGCTAGTTCGAACTAGCGGGGTAATGTAGGCATACCGCACTTGCAAATGAAGCCCGGGATTTGAATTTCCCGGGCTTCATTTGCATAAGCCGGGCGCCGCCATTTTTAAATCCCGGCTGGTTCGAACCCTGTGCCGCGCGGCTACACGCGGCACGAACTAGGTAGTTCGGACTAGGCTTCCTAATTCGAACTACCGTTACTCGTCGTGGAATGAGGAGTAACGGTAGTTCGAACTAGGAAGCCTAGTCCGAACTACCT